AATACAGGCTTTGGAGCCTCCTCCACAGACATTGCAATAGAATCTCACTTGCACCGAGAATGGCGACAGATAACGCTTCAACAAATCAGACGTCTAACTGGCAGTATGTGGCGCAGGGTTGCAGCAGTCATCCAGGCAAACGGTGGATATACCCGATATTGACTTTTCGATGACTAATTATCAATGTGTGGGTCATGATTGACATTTTGTAATGTGATTTGACAATTCAATAACGTTTTTGAGCTTTCACTGACAATACTTATTAAAGATAATTTTAAGCGTGAAAATTGTCCATATTTTGATGTCATGATATGTAAATTAATAATTGTTATTTTACGGTGATAATCTTGTTTTCTTGTGCCCAATAATGCATAATTTCATTTGATAAACACGTTTAGATTGAATGGTAATTTATAATCAGTCACAAGAACGTCGAATCTGAATCACTTGAAAAAAACACGGGGGTGCTTAACTTTTTTCCAGGTGTATACTTCAGATGCTTACAGACAATACAAAATTGAATTTTTATTTATAAAATTAAGTACATAATTACCATACAAGGTATTAACATCATTAACACTTTATGGCATAAAATTGAAATGGTTTAGAATTATTAATTTTAACTAAATATTTTCACACCATGAATGGCCTCACATACCATTGTAGTGTTAAGACCTATTTAAAATATTACAGCTAGTACTAAAATTGTTGTAAAGGATTTTTCTGATTAAGAAAGAAAAAAATACAATTTTTTATTTTGACATTTCCATAACAAAAGATGCACCAATGTTTGAACATTAATATGCCAGTGCCAGACTTGTGTAAGATGAACTTTTATTAAATGTAGCAACACAATCACATTGTGAATTCACATAAGCCACAAGTTCAATTCTACTTATTGGGCATTTCATTTTTTGAATACTTTAACTGTACTACAGTCATTACAGAATAAGTCAAGTATTGTGAACTTGATCTTAAATGACAAATTTTGGATATATTAATTATAATTGGTCAACTCCACCACACTAACTACATCACCACATCTTAACTAGTCAAGTGATGACAAACAGTTTCACTTACCATGAACTGTTCTACAGTCAGAGGGAATGTGGCCGAGTACAAGAGAATCTGACGTTCCTTTGGAAGATAACTGATTACCTTATCCAACATACCCTTGAAATCTTGAGATAATAACTTGTCAGCCTACAGGAACATAAAAAATAATTCCAGTCAGTAGCAAATAAATGTTATGGAAATGAGACCTAAGAAGCATCACAGCCAAGTTTCTTTACAAACACTTGGATAATTTTCCATTTTCGCACACTCCAGATTTCTGCACCTAATGATCATAGCTATTACATGTCCATGCTTTTCCTTATAAAACTTTCTTTTATAACAGTTACTGAAATAAACAGAATTGTTAATTCTGGCTTTAATGGACTGGTCTTGTCTGTTCCTATAAAACACAGTATGACTGACAGTGAGCAACAACCTCACCTTTCAATGTGGTGATGCTGTTACATGCATGGTACCATGATACTTGGCAACAGTATTTTTTGGTCATGATCACTTTACATATGTTTTTAACAAGTTCCTGTATTTGTGCATGTTGTTTAATTGAACATAGGACTTAATACATTCAATGAAAAATATTCAGTATTCATTCAAATAGTTTGTTAAACTTCTTAGCTTGCAATACCTATTACACAATACAATTACAACAACAACAAAAGAAGTTGTCAAAAACTATAAAAAGCTCCAAGACTAATTAATTGAGAAGCATTTCAAAACTTTCATGAATTTGCTTCATTACTCTTGACCAGACCATTTTTAAAAATGTAATTTGAACAAAGTATAATTGGAATTTAGATTTACATTCATTCAAGCTTAACATCTCACATTTTCAAAGCTTAGAACTGAAGTTCTCAAAAGCTCTTTAGGCAGTATAACCAATCAAATCACAGTTGGAAAAACTGTAGAAACAAGGTACATGACAAGCTACCAAACAATGAAGCCTGTTTCTGAGAAGTAAATAAAATTAGGTGTTAAAAGGAAAAACAAAAACAGTAAGATTCAAACATCTAGAGATAAAACAGGGATTAAAGATAACTAAGTATTATATAATGCTAGAATATCAATTCTATACTATGTTTTTTGAGATATTATTTTTGAATTAAATTTTGAAAGTTCAACTTCAGAGTGCACCCTGAGAACACACATATCTGCCAGGAAAGGGTTAATGTTAGTTATTTCTAGCATGCTGTATTTGTATTTTAATTCTGTCGGACTCTCAAAATTACAAGCTGCTGATTCTCCAAGGCAGTCTGTCAGAATCACATTTATTCCTTTCACATTCAGAATCAAATGTGTAAATACGACATGGGATGATCTTACTCCCCTTATTTACACAGGCCTGCAATGATTTTATTGTCTTGAAATTTGTACATGTTCTACAGTAATTCCTGTTCGTTGAATCCGAAAATGATATCCATTTCTTTCCATCATGTATAGATTTTTCACGAAAGATCATACGTACTTTTACATAAGTGAATCATTTTCATTGAAATCAGGTCACATTGTTATGCTTAAAATGTCAACAACCACTGGCTATAGATTTCTCTACACCAATTGAAACACTAGTCTTATCGATCATTATAGAACCCACAAAAAACACACTGCCAGTATACAAATGGTTAACAAGCTGCACAATGTGTCACTTCTGGATAGTATTTGTTTGTGCATACACTTTGACATTATTTTTTTTCCTTTTAATATTATTTACTCATTGCTATGGCAACAAGAGGTTGTGCAAGTGATCCAAACATATTCTGTTATATTTATGGTAAATTTGCTGTAAAGATACAATGGCAAAACATTACAGAATTAATCAAAAAAGCATATTATGCATACGTTGGAATAAAACTTTGGAACCAAGACAAATCATGGGCTCCTCACAAAGTTTGCACCATTTGTGTTGAAGAGTTGAGACAATGGAAAAAAAGAAAAAGTATTTACCTTTTGGAATTCCAATGGTCTGGTATAAGCCTAGAAACCACAGAGATAACTACTATTTTTGCTCATGTAATGTGCAAGGCAACAACACTTGAAATAAAAAGGAAATTTCTTATCCAAACCTTCAATCTGCTACAAGACCTGTTGTACCTGTACCTACTTCACTGGAGACTCTTGACAGAATTTCATCTGATTCTGAAGTCAATAGAAATAATGATAGAGATTATTTTCAAACTGAAAAGTATAGTGAACCACAACTTTTCACACAAGGTGAACTTAATGATTTGGTGAAAGAATTGGACCTTCCAAAGGATTCTTCAGAGATTTTGTGGTCCAGACTTCGGGCTAAGATCTTATTACCTCTGTATGTTGTTGGGTTAAAAATCTGGTTATACAAAATGTCCATGTTTTTTTTTTGTGAATGGGACAGCAGAGCACAAAATCAGCACTAAATAAAGAAGCAATGGCCATGCAGAGTCAGCCTGATACAAAGATCGAAAAACATTGAACATAAAAGTTTGGCTGACACAAAGAAGTCCTATTACCTCCACTTCACATAAAACTGGGCTTGATGAAGCTGTTTATAAAGGCCTTAGAAAAGATGACAACTGTTTCAAGTATCTCTGTGGGCAATTCCCAGCTCTTTCAGAAGCGAAACTTAAAAAAGAGATTTTTGTTGGGCCTCAGATCATGAAATTGACTTCGGATGAACAGTTCGAATGGACAATGAGGAAAGTTGAAAAACAAACTTGGATTGCCTTTAAAAATGTTATTGAGAAATTTTTAGGAAACAACAAGGACCCAAATTATGAAAATATTGTGAACAACATGCTCGATAAATTAAGAAAGTTGGGTTGTGATACGTGCTTGAAAGTTCATTTCTTACACTGACATATTGACTATTTCCCTGAAAATCTCCATGCTGTCAGTGAAGAACAAGGGGAAAGGTTTCATCAAGACATCAGGGAAATGGAGAGGAGGTATCAGGGAAGGTGGAACTTCAGCATGATGGCTGATTACTGCTGGTCATTGAAATGAGATGCTCCAGACCCAATACACAAAAGAAAGACCACAATAAGTAGTTTTGAGACTAAAAGACAGATTTCACAAAAAATATCAGGATGAATGAGGATGCATATTCGTGTGACATCAGTGTTCTTCCCTTTCCTTCAGTTGGTTTGTATTTTTGTTAACCAACATAATAATAAAAAATGTTCATTATGGTAAATGAAATAATATTCTGATCTAGGTAAGAGTTTTTTTCCCTTGCAATTTGTAAAAAATCCTTACGTGACAGAAAAAAAAAATATATTACTTTCAAAATCTGCATAGCTGAATTATGGAAAACCCATTATTAAAACCAAAACTTTTATGAAGTTTAAATTTGCAGGCCTGTGTTAATAATAATAATAATAATTAAAAAAATACCATACTCCAAATGAAAATATGAAAAGCACATTTTACACAGGTTAAAAAACAAAACAGTCATCTTGTGTCAAAACAATTTTATGAAAACAAAGCCTGAATCAGAGATGAGATATTTTGCTGTTAGTAAAGTTTTTGTTGTTTGTACATTGTTAAAGGTAGGTATCAAAATCCAGTTTTTAGCATTTTAAGCCTTTAAACTTACCACTAAGCCACTGGGCAGTATACTAATACAGACTACAGATCTGTTAACTACAATTAAGGTAATAGCAGTTTCTGGTAATCAAGATCACAGTATTTGTGATCCATTATAATGTTATATTGGCACTTTGAAAAAAAGATGGAGGAAGTTAAGTGAAATCACCCAATTAACATATGGGGAAGTATATGTGTGTGTGCACTATAATTTACTGTATGCCTTTCTTGCTCAACAAGATAAAGTTGTCTATCAAACCACTACCTTATAATTGTATTTACAGCAAAGTTTTTAAGACTATCTTTCAACTTCTGACTGGAGGAAAGTCAACCAGTCAGCAACACCCTAATACTAACAGACTAAGTATCACTAATAATGCATCCACAGCTTATAGTGCCCAAATTTGAACCTAGTTAGTTAGCTCCAAAATCCAGAACTCTAGCACAGGGTCAACCTGTGCCCACCACCAACTATAACCAGTAGCCCATCACAGTATTTACTGTTTCCAGACTAAAGTATCAGCATTAATTTTGCATACTGAAGAATTAAATGACAATAAAAGATGAAATTCATCAGAAGGAAAATCTTTTATTGCATCCGACATGACAGGCCTGGGCAATGTTTCGCAGTGTATTAATTTTTCAGCAAATAATTTGATTTTACAACTTTATTAAATAATAACTTAGGTTTCAGTATTGAAAAAGGAAGGATAAATTAGATCATCTAAAGAAAAGATGCAAAAATATCTATTCCTTTTTTATTATTGAACTTGAAGCAATTAAGTACAAAAACAAAGCTAATTTACATTTATTTTCTAAGTAAAATAGAGATTTGGAAACAGCTCACACAGAAGTACAACATCTTCAGAAACTAAGATGTTTAAGGGGAGGAAAACAACAGAAGTAAATAATTTGTTTTTCTTTTTTAATACCTTACTTAATTTGTTATTGTAAAGCTACTAATGCTACCCGCCATTTCAAATGCATAACTATTCTTTTAATGTTAAATAAACAAGTACAAATCTAGGAGAAGGATCACTCCATTATTTTTCAGATATTAATAACTAATTTAATATTGTACAAATGGTTCCAGATCTAGAAGGATTTTAGAACATAACTGTCTCTTGATTCTCAAATATTTCCTCCTTAGTTTTTGTGTAGACCTTGGTTGAAACCTTGCTATGGTGACACATCGAATGGTTTGATCATTTAATAATGAAACAGCTTTGAAAACTACTATAAAGAAAGTAACTGTTTGGATAGAACACGAACTAAACAATCAAGTAATAGCAGAATAAATGTATAGGCAAGTTTTTTTTAGTTTCTGTAAATGTTCCTTTTGTTTGTGACAGTATTTGTATTAAATTTTATCTCTTTGAAAGCAACAGTTTAGAGATGGGTTGAATGGGTAACAAATGTACAATGTTTGGAGAAGAATTTATCTTTGGCTACAAGTAGCCTGCCTAGACCAGGCCTCAACAAATCCTGGGTACCAAGTTGCCATGGCAACTAAAAATTAACATCATGGTGCCTAGTATTTTCTCCCATTTTATTCGTGCATAGAGCTGTGCTAAATAGAACTTGAATCTAGAAGAGTTCTGGACTCTTCGAAGTCCAGAACTATTTAAGTTCTTTGAGACCTAAATTGAATGGCTCACAGGCCAAAGGCTATATCATCATGTTTGTTGACTCTCATTCAAAATTTTACTGAACAACTATTTTATGAATTTATATCAATAAGTTTAGTATCAAATTGTAGATTATAATTCATATTTTAGTATTATACATTATTTAATTAGGTCACAAAGATTTTACATATGACGAGCACAACTATAACAAGCACAAATGGTTACGAGGTCAGACCCAGGGACCAAACTCGTACAGAAAGGTTTAATAACAGATTCAGTACTTCATGTATTTTCAGGTATGAAACATTGAGGTTGCACAATACGCTACTAATTTCGTGCCATCTTGTTTTTCTTCTTTCTCTCAATTCAACCAATCAGTGCACATGTTTAGACTCAGACAGGACCAAAGACAGTTAGTTCAAGCAATACTATCAAGTTGAAATCATGTGATCATTACAATATGCGATTGTTGTTGAGAAAGTAAATAAATATATATTATATTGCCTCTATTAAATGCACTGGTCCAAAGAAAAACCAGGTGTTGGTTGGTTGGTCATGCTTGATTTCTCATAATTTCACGAGTTACACGAACCCAATTCCACTTTCTCCTATATTATTTCCACTTTTGATTGCCCATTCCAATCTCCTAAATTTCCAAACTTTTTCTACTATAGAAATGGAAGTGCATTCACACCCTATCAACTCCTGTGAAAAACAAGTAAAAAATTAGTGCAAATGTATGTTTGGGAATTATTACGAAAAAGTTTGTTAAACAGACTGAAGATACCAATTATCTTTAGGAAAGAGGACAATGTGTAACTGAGTGATACCCCAACACAACTTGAACACGCACTTGTGGTTAACTCCTTCAGCATAGGACCGAAGTCTTAACCATTTTGTGCTTGTTATAGTTTTCCTGCTACATCTTTTAAATGATTAAACATATCTTAATGACATTTGGTTGATTTTTCGTAAACAAAGATTTTATCC